GTTTTTGCTTTGTATAGTGTGGGAACCAGGAAGCGAGGGGAAATCCCACCTATGACTGTTAACACGGGAACAGGTTTTTCCATTGGGAGAGTTCCAATGCATTCCTGCTCTGGTAACAACTGTCAAATATTTTAATGACCCTTGCTTTCTACCCCAGGTTCAAGCTCTTCTGGGACAAGTGACTGCAATAAAATAAGAAGTTCCACTTTTGCATTATTAGTACACATATAAATGTGATCCTATGCTTTCATGTGGCTTCCAGCATACCATTTTTTTTTCACCACAAGGTTTTTGTCAAACATGTTACAAGCTGAAACGACCACATGTGCCAACCATACAGAAATAGGTCCAGATGTGTCCTCCAAAAAAAAGCAGTGCATTACAGCTTTGTTCTTGTGTGAGAAGGCAGGCAACTCTTCATATGTACTTGTTCTTGGCTAATCCCTGCACAGATAATCTACTTTCTCAGTGCATAGACCAATGATTATGTACAGTTCACCATTGCAACCAATCAGATTTAATTTTACTGCAGTCAAAACAGTGAAAGTTTTCAGCTTTCGTCAGACTTTGTAAGATGGTTTTTGATTGGTCACTATGAAAGGCTGCACTTTGCAGGTTGCCTTTCTCTGTGTCTCTGGTGTGAATTAAGCTTCCGTTCCCTGACTAATAATAGTTTAATTGCCGTTCTGTTTTATTCCTTTTATCCTGGAATTCTCCAGCTGCGGACGTCTAACTCCTGTGACCTGCATGAGTGGGCCGTTGTCTCTAGTCAGAATGTCCTTTGCTATCTTTCCTTTCCAAAAACACTACTTGCTTTGTTTTACAGCCTACCGGTTTCTACATCAGCACAGAGTACTCACTGTGTATGGGTTTTGGACCTAAGTCTGATTTTTAATATAGAAGCTTTTATTCAACCCTTGTCCCTCTGACATCCTTTTTAAAAAATCTGAAGTTTTATTTTGCGGATCAGAGAGTGTGCTGTCTTTTTAACCTCTTGCCGTACGCCCGTAGTAAAAAAACGGACGAGCCTGGATGGGCAGGGGGTTTAACACCGCGGATGTCAACTGGTTAATACAAGTTTTTGGGAATTTAACAAGATTGTATGTATATATAATTTTTGATCGTGACAAAGCAAAAGTGTTGAAATGCACTTTTCATATTGTGGTGTGTTTTTGTATGGTGGCCAATTAAATGTGATGTTCATAAAACAATTCTCTGCATTGAAATTGTAGACTTTAGGGTGGAATCTTCTCAGTTCTGCATTTCATCCCTAGCACATGTGCAACCTTGACTCTCTTATTGGTTGACAGGTCTTCCCTTGAAATCAATGGAGCTCAAGCTGCAGTACAGGACTGGAAATATTTGAAGTGCCCATGTGTTGTCAGGTAGACAACACAGAAAAAGGTCTTTTTGGAAGATGGAGCTGCATTTCAGGTAATTATAACCAAGGGTGTACCCACTGCAAGGCAAACAAGGTGTTTTGCCTTGGGCGGCTCTGTCCAGGGGGGCGGCAAAAATACGCTGCCCCCAAAATCAATGCAGTGAACTGGGTCGCACAGAATAAGGCAGCCTTTGCTGCCTAATCAGGCAAAGAGAGCTGCTGGAGGAGGTGGGTCTGGAGGCGAGGAGGAGGTGGGGCTGAGTTTGGGGCTACTTATTCCCCACCATCTGATGGCGGAATGTCCTGGAGGCAGGCTGGGAGGCTTCAGGTAGGAGGAGCAGCACATGTATTGCAGGGAGAGGGACCCTGCGCAGCCCACCATAAATACTGCACATCCCACCTGAAAGTCTCAGGTGAGCTGTGCAGGTTCTATAGTGAGCTCTGTGGTATCTCAAGTGGGCTGTGCGAGGCCTATGTTGGGCTGTGCGGGGTATGTTGTGGGCTCTGCAAGGTCTCAGGTAGGCTGTGTGGGGTCTGTGATGGGATTTGCAGGCACTCAGGTAGGCTGTGCAGGATCTATGGTGGGCTCCGTGGGCTCTGCGGGGTCTATTGTGCAGACCTTGCAGAGCCCACAAGATCGTTCATAGCCCACCTGAAACCCCTGCTATGCTACTAACCCAACCTGTCAACAGGTGAATACAGCGTTACGCAAAATGTCTTAAACAGGAAGGGGTAGGGTAAATTTAGATTGGGGGAGACACATTTTTTGTCCTGCCTAGGGCAGCACAAAACCTAAATACACCGAGTATAACCCGTTAAGAAGTTTGTATTTAGGGTGATCCCCTTGCCTAAAGAAGAGGCAAATGAGCCTTGAAAGCTTGCACTGCAATTTTAGTCGTTAAAAGGTATCACCCTAACTCCAAACGTCTACTTTGGTGATGGCTAACACGGTGTATAAATATATATACTAATATAAAATATTACTTATTAATATTCTGATATTTTCTCCAATTGACTGATGTTTGGACTCCTTTTCACTTGGTTTCCTCGGTCACCTTTGCTCATTTGTTGTAAAGGTTTGCTAAAGTTGGCCATACAACTATAGATTATCTGCAGATTTTCTATGGTCAGATGGGAAAAATACAACAGATTCCTCCATCTATGCTAAACTGTGTGGGTGGAGGAATATCCCACTGGGCCAAGCTTCAGTATCTGGCTAGTTAGCCCCACTGGCTGTCAAAATCCATTTACAATCTGATTGGATGCAGGCATTGTTCAGGCATCTGTTGCACTTTTTCCATCTGGCCATAGAAAATCCACAGATAATCTATAGGTGATGGCCAGCTTTGCAGAGCTTTGTAGCCCAAAGGAAGCCAAAAGGTTTTTTCTTCTGTGATGTCTATTTGCCCAATACACAGTGCTCAAGGAATCTTTTGCATTGTATTTAAATGTGTATATTTTAAAAACAATGAATGTGTACATAGTAAAAATGAAGGCAGTTTAAAACATATAATCTTTTATTTAAAAAGTGTAAGGCTCTGTTCACACCTAGGCGTATCGAATATGCGCGTTCGTGTAAAAACGCGCGTCACAAAACGCGTTTTTACAGCGATTGGCGGCAAGAAAACGATTGACAAACGCGCGTTTCCGAGGGCTACTTGGCTATATCCCAATGGAAACGCGCGACAAAAACGCTGCAAAGAAGCTCGTGTACCTTTTCAGGCGTAGGCCGTTTTGTAGCGCGTTCAGACGGGCTGAAATACAGCAAGGTGTGAACCATACCCATAGAAAACAATGGGATTTTCATGTTTGAGCGTTTGGTAGAGCGTTGAACGCACTACAAAACGTACAGGTGTGAACCAGGCCTAAACTAGAATGGTTTGGGGTCAGTTTTTAATGAAATGTTTTGCCCCATTTTCTATCTGTGTAGTTCATCTGTTTTAGGCCACTTGAGTCTAGTACCAGTTTTACACATCATATGATATATATTAACGTCACCTATGCAAATAATTGTAACGCCTCAGCAATTCAAAGGGCATTTCTTTTCTAAAGTATGAGCAATATGTGACCACACCATTATTTATTATTCATTATTATTGAACTGTATCTGCTTTATTACTTCAATATGACATTTTTAGGTAGCCAGCTCTCATGAGCCAAGTGGAAGGTTTAGTTAGCCAGCTCTCATGAGCCAAGTGGAAGGTTCAATTAGCCAGCTCTCATGAGCCAAGTGGAAGGTTTAGTTAGCCAGCTCTCATGAGCCAAGTGGAAGGTTCAATTAGCCAGCTCTCATGAGCCAAGTGGAAGGTTTAGTTGGCCAGCTCTCATGAGCCAAGTGGAAGGTTTAGTTAGCCAGCTCTCATGAGCCAAGTGGAAGGTTCAATTAGCCAACTCTCATGAGCCAAGTGGAAGGTTTAGTTAGCCAGCTCTCATGAGCCAAGTGGAAGGTTCAATTAGCCAACTCTCATGAGCCAAGTGGAAGGTTTAGTTAGCCAGCTCTCATGAGCCAAGTGGAAGGTTCAATTAGCCAGCTCTCATGAGCCAAATGGAAGGTTTAGTTAGCCAGCTCCCATGAGCCATGCTGATTTTAAAGCCTTACTCCAGGGACAGCCTTTTCATGTTTTTCTTTTATGGTACTTGTTACACCTTTAAAAATCCCTACATAACGGCTACTATGTAATCAAACTGTATGCCTTTTTTTTTGTTTTTTGTTCACGCTTTAAGATCCTTTATGTTTTTACAACTTTAGGAGCTCTTTAAGTTCTGCTGAGTGCTCCTGGTACATACATCAAGAAGATCCACTTTCTACTCCCCGCTGCATTGTAAAAGTGTCTTTAACCAACACTGTTTGTGCTTTTCTTGTGAATGGCAGGGCACAGTAGAGGCCCAACACTGGAACTGGTGTTGTCCATAGACACTGCTCTGATGCATCGAGGAGCCAGAAGTGGGGCTTCCCGCTATACCAGTAACACTCGGCAGAGCTTAGAAAGCTCCTAAGGTGGTTGAGGATCCTAACGTGCGAATTAAAGATAAAATAAAAATATATAAAGTTATATCTAGAGTTGGGTTTAAAACAGCAAAGACCGAATACACAATCACTATTGTTAAAAAGGGCAGTGTAAGGGCCAGGCCACCTCCCTAATCAAAGCTTTCTAAATAAAGGGTCTAGATTTATTAAAAGTGGAAATCCTAGCTTATTAGTTAGGCAACACATACTGTATATATTATTGTATTATTCACTGTTGTTAGAGTATGAAGATCAGTGTTTGTTAGGCAAGACTCCCTTATGTGTGTTTGTTTGTTTGTTTCAGAGCAAAACCAGAGGAAATGGCTCAAAACAAATATTTACAGACATAAAATTGCTAGTGTAAGGTTTTATATTGCATTGCTAACATTTGGTAAACCTTTTAAATCATTTTTTATACTCAACAGTATAGTATGGTCTATTTTTTGTAATGCTGCAGAATGTTTGTTTGTGACTATTCCATGTATGGTTATAAGAATGTATACTGTACTGATAATTAAGTAAAAACGCGATAGGCATTATTTTTGATTTTTATTTTAAATGTAATTGTATGTGTATATAATTGCTTATCCTGTTGTTTTTGTTCCCGTGCAGGTGGGGCCACAGCTATAAGGAGGACTGGTATACCAACTCCCCGGGAACTGCCAACTCCAATAGCAAGAGATAGGACAAATCTACGTCCTCCAACCACTACTACAGCAAAAAAAACACTACCATCTCCTACATCTCCCAGTGGCTCTACACCTGCAAAGAACATCCGTGCTTCCCCTAAACCTAAACATGACGATGAATCTAACAGCCCTTTTGTGTTGGAATCACAAGTTAGGGAGCTGTTGGCTGAAGCAAAAACAAAAGATTCTGAGATTAGCAAACTACGGTGTGAACTGCTGAAGTGCAAAGACAAGGAATGTCCAAGCCCTGACATCCCAGTCTCACTGGAAGCATCCACAGAGATTCAGCTAACAGAAGGTAAAGACCTTGAAGTATTGTTAAAGACCTTTCAGGGCAAGAACCTGTCTTTACAGAAGAAGCTTGTTTTTTTGCAACAAGAAAATGAAGACTTAAAGCAGAAACTGCACAGCTTAGAGCAGTCACCACTTTCAGATACTATAAGCAGCAATGGAACTGATAGCAGTATCATATCACCTTCCACCCAAGCGACAAGCACTGGGAGCAGGATGAAGAGCCCATTGACAGAGCCTGAGAACAACCAGTTGCTTGCAGGACGACATGGCCTTCCTATATCTGGTTCATCAAGCAGTGATGTCACTAAAGCCTCCCTTTCTCCTGACTCTGATTTTGAGCATTTAGCTGATATGCCTTCCAGACCAGGGTCAACTGGAAGTATTCCATGCCAAGGCTCCAAATGTTCAACTAGCGGTAGCTCCCCAAATAACATTAGTGATCTCTCTGTAGCCTCATTGACTGAAAAAATACATAAGATGGAAGAAAACCAGCATAGTACTGCAGAAGAACTTCAAGCAACACTACAGGAACTCTCTGATCAAAATCTAGTGGTACAGGAGCTAACATTAGAAAGTGAAAAGCTTGTGGAAGAAAAGGCTTTTTTGGAAACCTCGCTACAGCAGCAAAGGCAAAGGGCAGATCAGCTAATGCAGGAAAATGAGAAGTTCAAGGCCCGTCTTCAAGACAGGGCAAAGACAGAGGAAACCCAGGTTCAAAGCAAACTGACAGAGGTAGAAAAGAAATACTCAGAGCTTGTAGAAAAGTCTCAGTTTGAAAGGGAAAAATTGCTTAACATTCAGCAACAACTAACAAGTAGCTTGAGAAGCCTTGAAAAAGAACACCAAGAGGCTCAAGTGATGATTAAAAGATTAAAAGAAGAAACTGGAAAATTGCAAAGTCTCCTGGAAACTGAGAGGAAAGAGAAAACTGGCATAGCCAAGACAGTAGAAAATCTAAGTGTCACCATTGAAGGTCTTAAAATTGAAGGCAGCTGTTTGAAGTCTCAACTGGAAGGTGAGCGCCATAAAGTGGCTGAAATTACAGCTATGGGAAACACCCCCGAGAACTGTGAGGTTCAAGAAATGCTGAATTCTTCTCACAAGGAGAAAGAACTTCTAGAACTGACATGTTCTGAACTTCGTCAAGAGCTTTTAAGAGCCAACAGTGAAGTCAAGCAGCTACAGTGTCTTCTGGCTAAGGTCAGACATTTTATATATTTGTCTTAAATAACATTTTGCTTGCACTAAATATTATTTGCTTGCAATTTCAATAATTTTCTTGTTGTTAAACAAATGGTCTAGGAATGCTTATGCTTACTGTACGTATGCTATGCCTCTCTGCAGTTTGCAGTTGTTCACAAGGTTTCACTACTTAAATTCACAGGTTCACCTTCTAGTGACCCTGGCACTTTGCCTGTCTTCTGATGGTGTATAAATTTATATTGTGGAACGTTCGGGGCTTGAATTCCAGCCTCAAACGCTCCCTAGTGTTCGATTCCCTCAACACAAGCCGCATGTGGTTTGTCTGCAAGAGACCCACCTACTGGGCTCTAATGTAATGGCACTAAAAAAGCATTGGGTTGCCAATTCCTTCAATGCTGTATATTCATCGTATTCACGAGGGGTGTCTATTCTACTGGCTAAGTCACTTAATGCTGCTGTTCTTTGGGTTAAAACTGAACCTCTTGGTAGATTTGTTATCCTTCACATGACCATAGATGGGACTCCCCTGACGCTGGCCTCTGTTTATCTCCCCCCAGCCCTACTATGCTCATGGGTGACTTCAACCTGGCCCCTAATCCCCTATTGGACCGCATGGGAGGTGGGGGGCGACTCAATATTAAGTTCACCGACTGGATCCAGGGCATTGGGCTTCTTGATGTGTGGAGATGGAAGTGGCCGGACACGAGGGCCTACTCATGCCATTCTGCCACATATAGGACGCTTTCCAGAATTGACTTGGCGTTTGTAACCCCCTACAATTCTTCCGTGGATTTCGGGGGTGCGCTTTCTCCCTAAGGGTATCTCTGATCATGCTCCCTTGTTAGTGGAGCTCAGATGGGGGCATTCCTTCTCTTCCAGAGTATGGAGAATGAACTCCCATTGGCTATCTGATCCCTCTGTGGAGACTGCTTGCCCTCAGGCTATCGTCCACTACTGGAGTGACAATGCCCCTGTGACTTCCTCCTCTCTTAAATGGGAAGCCTTTAAACCCACGCTCCGAGGAGCATTCATGGCAGCTACTGGGGCAGTCCGTAAGCATAAGGGGGAGGTTGCACTGGCACTGGAGTGTGATATGGGAGAGGCTGAGACCATCTATGTTCTGGACCCCACTCCCTCAAACTACAGTGATTGGATGGGGAAGAAACGTAACTATGACTTGTTCCAATTGGAACTAACCAAAATGAAAATGCTACATACTCAGCAAAAAATCTTTGAGTTTGGGAACAAGGTGTGTAGATTATTGGGCATACTTTACTAAACCTGACTTCAACCCTACTTCCATCCCACGCATCGTTTTGTCCTCAGGGAATTGGGACCAGCCGCTCAGTACCGAGGAGATTGAGTTGGCGGTTTCCCAGTTTCCCACTAGAAAGACCCCAGGCCTTGATGGGTTCCCGGTAGAATGGTACGCCTCCTATATGGAGGAATTGGGACCACATATATTGGACACTTATAATGAGGCATTTGATCTGGGTATACTCCCCCGTCCATGAGAAGCTCTTATAGTCCTGATTTTAAAACCGGGCAAGGACCCGACTAAGTGTGATTCATACCGGCCCATTTCTTTAATGTTGATGCAAAAATCCTAGCCAAAATTCTAGCAATACGCATAAATAAACACGTTCTATCCCTTATTGGCAGTGGGATTTATGCCAGGCCGATCCACTAGGATGAACATACGCAGACTTTTCAGCAACCTCCAATACTCTCATCCCACGACTGAAGGTAGAGCATTACTTTCACTTGATACACAAAAAGCCTTTGACAGTGTTGAGTGGCCGTATCTACTTAAAGTATTAAGGTGCCCATACACTGCACGATTCTCGTACGAGAATCGCGGGAAAATCCCGCGATCCTTCGATTATCACGCAGTGTATGGAAGGCGTGCGACCGTTTCTAATGTACGGTCGCACGACTTTTGTATATCGAGCATGTTGGAAAACTAGCCGAGAATCATACGATTTTCGACTGGTTTTTAACATGATCGAGAGATGATTGCCGAACGGGCTGGTATGCGCACGCGTACACTGCCCGTTTAGCATTGCAGTCATCGGATCGATGATCGCAGGTACGATCTGCCTGTCCAGGATGGGCAGATTGTACGTTTTTTAAATTACTTTACAAACCTCGCAAGACAAAAGTCTTGCGAGGGTTGTAAAGTGTATGGGCACCTTTTAGAAGCATATGGGTTTGGCTCCCACATGATCCGCTGGATAGAGATTCTGTATAACACCCCAGTGTATAACACCCCGTCAACAGAGAAGTGTCTGCCCCGTTTAGTATCTTCCGAGGTACAAGACAGGGTTGTCCCCTCTCCCCTATCCTCTTTGCCCTGGCAATTGAGCCTCTGGCGATTAGGGTACGGGAGTCTGTCTCTATACATGGCTTGAGGATACGTGACCTGGAAGAGCGAATCTCCCTGTATGATGATGATGCGCTGATTTATCTATCTGATCCGAATGACTCCCTATGTCACCTCCTCCAGCTATTGGACTTATTTGGAACCTATTCAGGGTTCAGGGTTAATTGGGACAAGTCTGTTCTTTTTCCCCTGGATGATGCTACAGTGGCGAACATTCACCCTATGTCCACGTTAAGGGTTGCAAATGAATTTAAGTATTTGGGTGTTAAGGTTCAGCTGCCCCTCTCTTCCTATATTGCTAATAACTTGACACCAACTATTGACTCTCTTCATTTGAAAACTAAACAGTGGATGGACTTACCACTGGACCTTATGGGAAGAGTCAATATAGTTAAAATGAACTTCCTCCCCAAGTTGCTGTATATCCTAGCGAATGCCTCTTGCTATGTTCCAAAAAGTTATTTCCGTAAAATTGACTCTATTTGCACTGTATTTCTGTGGAGGGGTAGTACCCCTAGGGTGGCCTTGAAGGTGCTGCAGCTCCCTCGCTCGATGGCGGGCCTGGCCTTTCCTAAGTTTCATATGTACTACCTCTCATCCCAACTAGTGGTGGTTCATGACTGGCTGATCCCCCAGATTGGGAACGCCTGCACGGCAACTGAAGCAGCCATACTAACCTCCTTTGAATCCCTTCAAAATATTGTCTATAGGGGGGTCAATCACAACCAAAAGCTCCAAGGGGCAGTCATGATTTCTGTGACTGTCCGTATCCTAAGATATGTTATCAATCGATTATCACTATCCCAATGGTACCATTCTCCTTACTCCCCCTTATGGGGTAATCACGCCCTCCCAGAGCTGCAGCGCCTACCATCGGCCGCCTTCTGGTCCTCAAAAGGCATTAAATCTCTGTCTCACTTGTTTCAAAATGGGGTGATTTCCCGCAACTTAGGAGGGAGCTGAAGCTCTCCCCGTGTGATTTAAAAAATTTTTTTTTGCCTACTTTCAACTCCTACACACGATTCAAACCCTATTTGGGTCGACCGCCTTTACCCGAACTCAATCACCCCTGGAGGGGCTGCTACGAAGAGATGACTCAGCAAAATTGATCTCTACTTATTATGGGGAGCTTATGTCCTATAGATCCGGTAGGTTTGACAGCCGCAAACAGAGGTGGCGGTCGATCCTCCCAGATCTAGTGGAGGATGATTGGGGAGACTTTGAGGGTAGCTACATGTCATCTGTGATAGCCTCTAAAGACAAATTGATCCAAATGAAATTCTTCTACCAGGTTTACTACACTCCAACTCTTCTACAAAACTCGGCCTTCGCCCCCGACCTCGTGTTGTTTCAAGCGATGCGGGCGAGAGGCTGACTTCCTGCACTGTTTTTGGTCATGCCCTATCATCAGAGCCTTTTGGTCGGAGGTCACTTCCTTCATGGAAACTGGCCTCGGCTTCCCTAATATTTGTAACCCCGCGTTCTGCCTCTTAGGTCTATTTGGGGAACTGCCATTGGCCTCAAGAACTCAGACACTCCTCCGACTCCTTTTATTCTATGCCAGGAAGACCATCCTTCTGGTCTGGGGTAGCCCGACGGCTCCCTCCCTGAGAGAGTGGAAAAGACTAGTTGATCAGGCATTGCCCATTTACAAACTCACATACGAGCAGAGGGGCAACCCGGCACGATTTGGGAGTATCTGGGATCCATAGCTGTCCTCCTCTAACACATCTGTAGAAATGGGGTGACGTACTGAATACACTCTCATTCTTCAGCCTACTGACCCCTTTTCTGGTTCACTGAAGCCCTGGATGTATTTCCTACCATATTGACTACATGTGACTGGGTCCAACTCCCTATGTTATATACTCCCTGTGTCGGAGGGTGACTACCACGTATTGAATCTTGTGACCAAATACTTGTGTAACCTTGTAATCTTATGTTCTTCTGATCTGTGAAGAGGGTGTAGATTTTTTTTTTTTTTTACATAATTTGGTAATGGTTAGAACTATTGTTTTTCTTTTTATTGCTGTCTACATGCATCTGGAGACACCATCTCTCACTTCCTGAAACAAAAATTAAAATCTTTCCATAGTGAAGGGAAATTCCCAGCTGGTCCCATTTGGCGATTTCCCATCACTTCCTGTGACAACTGTAAAATGTTTTCCCCTTAATTTGGTCTTTCTTGTAATGATGTCAGAGTGTGACCACCAGCCGGAGAACCTTACAGAAGAGGCTTCGGGGGACCAGTTACACAGCTTGGAGGAAGCCTGCCAGAGCAAGGAATAAGATAAGCATTATAGCTTATTCCTCTACTCCTATACATAATGAACACTTAACCCTTGCAGTGCAGGGAGGCCCCACTGCAAGGGCAGTTTTTTTTTCCTAGTGCCCAGAGCAGAGCTTTAAACCTTTAGCCCTCTGTAAGGGAAGCAGAGAATGCCTTTGCAGCAGTTGATAAGTTAAATTTTCACCTTCTGCAACAGCTTCAGGAGTCTTCGCTGAGACTTCTGGATGTGTTGGATTGTGTGTCCACCTCTGGGCACTGTGGCACCTTCTGTAGACCCCTATCTCTATGTCCTGTTGTGTCCTCTAGTAACATAGTGGTCAGTGG